TAGCTCTATACTTCTGACATAAGTCTCTACTGTATCAAATATTATGCTAGATTCTGGTTAGACTCGGCAGTAAGATATCAGCTAGGTTAGCGTTACACAAGTAACTTCTGACTTCTGTATCCATCAAGGAAATATTAAACCCGTATCAAACCACCTTGGACATACAGTATTATGTTGCTGGTTATTAAATGACTAAAGTTTAAAATTTGTCAGTCAACAGTGTACATGCACAGCCTCAGGTCACAGTGGTCTGAGACTACAGAATGTGCAGGCTGGCCTGGCTCTATACTAGGGGCTAAGACCAGAGCTGCATTACTGGTACTGGTACTGGTACTGCAGTACGTACTGCAGCGATTTTGCAAGTACTGGTACTGATACTGAATTACTCTTACAAAATTTTGCTACTACTGGTACTGGTACTGCATTACTGTCTTAAAAAGTGGTACTGCTACTGCATTACCCAGTACTTTTGGTTTTGATAAAAATTAAAAGTAGCATCAATTTTTCTCATAAAATAAAGCTGTAAATTACATTAACTATATTATTAAATCTAAAGATAATTTGCTGCAATATTCCTTCAAATGTTAACATAGCATTAAAATCTTTTATTACTTTGTATTTACTAGTAAAGTAGCAAAATAAACACTAATTAATTTCTTCTATTCTAAATAATCCCATTTCAAGTGAAAAAAGTGATATTGTTAGCACCATAAAAAGTTGTTATTTACTTTGGTATAAATTGAACAGAGGTGTGAAGGTGTGAAAGGCAACAAAAGACTGTTGTGTTTCAAATGAAAAATGTTTGCATTGTATTTATGCAGTTGACTGGTTACTAAACAATTAGATATGACATGAATATATGTTGTAAATATTGTTTGTAAAAAGTATGTTAAAACTATAAAGTTGTAAATATGTTATGTTAACTTTAAAGCAGCATGCCTCCAGATTCATCCTAATTTTCATGAAAATTTTGAAAATGTATTTAAAGGTATAATATTGTTAAATGAACAAAGAAAGTAATCGCCGCTTAAAATCCACGTTAATTACCAAAAAGAGGTCAAAACATGCATAAATAGCCCTACTGCGTTAGTAACGCAGTAGAAATATAGTGATAAATACTACAAAATACAGTCATTAATTGCACATAAGATATAAATTATCACTTGAATCTTTAATTTGTTTACTTTTCTCAAAGTTTTAGTAATTTTTTCCCAAGTTTAATTTTCTTGTAATATTTTGGGTCATCTGGAGGCATGCAGCTTTAAAGTAAATTATGATTTTATTTCTTTGCTGAATAATATTTGCAATTATTTGTTTAACACTGTATTTATTCAAACTTTGATAAATATATAAAAGTAATGGTACTGATACTTAATTACTTCACCAAAAAAAGTACTGGTACTGCAGTACCGAGCTAAAATCTAGTACTGGTACTGGTAATGGTACTGCATAATTTGCCAAGTACTGGTACTGGTACTTAAGTACTACACCCTTAGTACTGATGCAGCTCTGGCTAAGACTAATAACTTTCAGTTCCAGAGGGTCAATTCAGTACCTTCCAGAGAAATACACATAAGTTTAAGCCAGATGGCTAAAAACTTTCAGTTATTCAGGGATGAGGCCTTAGCCTCTTGCTTTTTGGAAGAATCATCACACAAAAAATGCAAATTTGGGAAGTAAAAAAGCTTTTGAAGACTTTTGGTAAAACTGTATAATTTTTAAGAAAATTTCCATTGGTTTTCCTTTTAGAAACCTCTGCTATTTACAGTGAAAAATCACTGCCATTAATTGGGGATTTTACCCAACTGGCGGGTCATATTGCAACCCCTGCTCCTTCCTAAGTCTGAGACTACACGGTCTTACTCTCTCCCTTTACTTTTTTATACAGTTACAACGCCGCTGAACCAAGTACCCCCTGACTAAAGCGCTCTAAGAGATAATTTTTTCCCAAGTAAAGCTGACATATAAACATGTTTCCAATACTTAGCTAAACACACATCAGACGTGTCTCTATGCAGCTGACCAGTCCTAATCAAATTGTCACAAATAAATTCCCTGTCTTCTCTGACATTTTCATTAGACGGGATATTTTTCCCACAGAATTTAACCCTTAACCTGCCTGAATCTATGTAATGGATTTACCCTGCTTTTAAATCTCTGGAAGAGTCCATTTTCTTATTTAAATATCGAAATTACAAGCAAAAGTACATTTTATACCGAAAGTAACAATAGAAGGTGATTTTGTAGTTTGGAAGATTATCTTTTAACAACATAGATTCATAATCTTTTACTTCTTACTCAAGAAACCCATTTATTTTTTCCCTTGAGGAGATTAATTTTTGCTTGAAGTCATGCAAGCTGTGCCCTATGCCCCTATCCACCATCTTTGCACGCCATACTTTGTATTTGTTCCAGCAGAGGAAGGTTTGTGCACTATAGAAACAATTAATCATATAGAATATACAGCAAAAATGGGTTCATCAAAAAAAATATTGATAATTGTCTTTTAAAAATTGGCTCCCAAAATGTCAAGACAGCCTTGAATATATCTTATAATTTATTTTGATCTTTAAACACTTGTTGCCATTTTTCAGGTTTCTGTTAAATTTTTTTTCTTTTTTGAATATTAAAAATCCATTTCTTTAAAATTATTAAAGGGCCTGGATTATATTTTTTAAAAAGTTATTTTTTTATAAGGTAAAGATAAAAAGAAGGGGTGGTGGGGGGCAAAGATCTCAATCTGTGACCTGCCTCTACATTTTGAATGTTATATTTATAAAGTATGATCTGACAGCTAATTGGATAGCTTTCTGGCATGTAAATAATGCAAGTGTCTTACATTTGATTTGAATCCACAGTAAGGGAATCAGTCAGAACCCACAATAAGGGAATCAGTTAGAACCCACAATAAGGGAACCAGTTAGAACCCACAATAAGGGAATCAGTTAGAACCCACAATAAGGGAATCAGTTAGAACCCACAATAAGGGAATCAGTTAGAACCCACAATAAGGAAACCAGTCAGAACCCACAATAAGGGAATCAGTTAGAACCCACAATAAGGGAACCAGTTAGAACCCACAATAAGGGAATCAGTTAGAACCCACAATAAGGGAAATCAGTTAGAACCCACATAAGGGAATCAGTTAGAACCCACAATAAGGAAACCATTTCCAGTAGAACCCACAATAAGGGAATCAGTTAGACCCACAATTAAGGGGAAACCAGTTAGAACCCACATAGGGAATTTAGAACCCACAATAAGGGAACCAGTTAGAACCACAATAGAGGGAATCAGTTAGAAGAACCACAATAAGGATTTTGCCAGTTTAGGGCAAAAAAAAAGGGGGGGGGGAGAAAAAAAAGAATAGAACTGCATTTTAGATTTTAATATTTTTTAATTTTTGGGCAGTCTTATCGTTCATTTAATACATTGAATACAAAATAAAGAAATGAAAATAAATAAATAAGCAAAAAAAAAATTATGTCCTCAAGGGTAAGTTAACCTACGATGTAAAACAGGAGGTGGGACATAAACTAAAAATTTCGTTCCAGCATTTGTCAATTGTTTGTTTATCTTATCCGATTCAGCGACTTTCCAATTCACTGACAGTTTTTTATTTATTTTCATTGCTTAATCACGTATCATTTGAAATCCATTAACAAAGGATTAAACGGTATTTTTTATTGCATTATATCAAAATATTTATTGAAGGTGACGAAAAAATCAATTAAGCCAATTATAGAAGATATGAAGGCAAGTTTAAGGTGTAATTTTCACACCTTTGCAGATCATACGTTTCACCCATTAATCAAGTAAAATAACACATGTCAGTTTGGGGTGTATGTTTAACCTGAAGATTGGCAATTAAATTTGTTATTTTGAAATGAAGGGTGTTGACATTTGGAAAATCTGTTTTTCGGATCCGGAGAGTAAATTTTAGATAAATAAGAACAAAAATTGAAAAAATCGTCCGGGAATTCGGGGAGTAGACCAGGTTCCGGATCCGAAAGGTTTTTTGCTATTGAAAATAGAACGAATAAAATCAGGACGGACACTTTGTTTCGGATAAGAAAGGATTTCGGATTAGAAGGTTGGATTAGCAAGGCTCCCTGTACCTTGGACATTTTAAGTGATATAACTAGGGCACTAGGTGAAGTAAATTTGGATAATGAAAATTTTTTCCCCAACAATTCCCCACCTTTTTGAAGACATTTCAATTTTAGAAAACTCATTCCCTAAAAGAAAATTTTTGGTAATTTTTATTGGCAAAACTCCCATGAATCAGTCTCAGTTATCACCTGTATTATAAGCAAAACATTTAAATCACCAACTAATTCCTAGAAATTTTCAAAAATTTTCTCTTTTTACCCATAAATTTAACATTTCAGCTTTTGGAGGGAATGGGTTTGTGATGTTTATAAAAGGTTTAGGGAAATAGTTTTTTTTCCTTTTTCTTTAAATGGGGACTAAATTTTTTTCTTCCCTGTAAAAATTATGAGTTTTAAATTTCCCTTTTATATAAAATCAAAGAAATTTTAAGCTTGATAAAAAATTATTGTACTTTTTTTTTTTTAAAAAACAAAATTGAAAATCATTTTTTAAACCTAGAAAAAAACTTTAACAAAATTTTTTACTTTTTCAGGATTTTTTGGCTCTTTTATAGACACTATTCTGTTGTATTCTTCCTTTGAAAATAATTTATTATCATTTTACCTTAAAATTGATGGTCCAAAGTTCCCTCAATGTAACCAGAACTGTTTGTGTAAAGGTTTGTTGTAAATGTTTTGAGCTCTTTCCGTTTCAGTTTAAGGAACATTCAAATATTTTCATACTTGTTAACGCCCAATTATGATGTTGAGGAACGGCCCAAACGTCTTTTTTTTAAGCAAACTTTCCAGTCCCCAAGGGTATGGGTCATGCACCCATCTGTGTTACAGTTCCAATTTTGGTTATGAAATACAATATTCCAAATTTGGGGAGGGTGTTTTATTAATTACCTGTGGCGAGAACTCGTCCATAAACCCCCAGAGTCCAACCCCAACTTGTACCTCTTTCCACTCGTCATCATCACTCGGGGTCTGAAATATAAATGGTAAAATACTCTTATGACTATCAGGCTCTTCAAAACTTATCCCTGCTAGTAAAGGCCCAATAGGGTGCCCCAAGAAATGTTTGGGGTTTTTTTTTTGTTATTTCTCAAAAGGTCTTCTAATATTTGTTTCCTGTTACATTTTATTTTCAACTCTTTCGAGAATTTTTTCTATATGGCTATAGAAACAATAATATTACCATTGGTTTTAAATTATTCAAAAATATTTTCATTTGGATATAGTATAATACCCTTAGAATCTTTAAAAACTAATGACTGTTTGTTTCAATATTATTCTTAGTATTAGCAAGCGGGCATTTCTTCTTAACAATACAGAAGAGAGATATCAAAACTTCATTAAATATGGGTTGGGAAAAAACTAACAAAATATTTTATATTATTTGTATAAACACACAAAATATAAATATTCTGTTTTTATATAAGGGTTTATTGTTAAAATCACTAGATTTGTGAAACTAGATTTTCCCCTAATGATTTGTCTTGTAAGTTCTGAAAACCCCTTTCAACATTATTAATAGTCTATTTGGGACATGTACAATACAAAATTATGTAAAATGGAAAAAAGTGTGAAATTGTTGGGTTTTAACCTTTTCAAAATTTATTATTTTGGTTTTATAAGAAACTGTGGGTTTTAAAAATTTTTTTTTTTTTTGGACACTTACCCCATATTTTACCAACCCGAAATGCTGTGATACCAAAAATCTAAATTGATCACTGGGGAATCTTTTTTATTCCTCCAGTTCAAATGTTGTTAAAACAAATTTTTATGTTTAAAATGATACATGTATGTTAAATTCTTTCTTTTTAAAAATTTGCTCAAATTTTAAAAATCATCAGACAAAAGAAACAGACACTTTTTTGATGGTAAAAAACATCTCCCAAATTTAAATTTGGGTATTGGAAATTTTTTAAAATTTAAAACAAGCAGGCCCAAAATTTTTTTCTTTTTTCCCCAAAAGAAATGAAAAAATCAAACACTTAATTTTTTGACCCTTTTTCTTAATGTGAGCCGGTCACGAAAAACCAACATAAAGGGTTTTCGAAGCATTCGGATCCAGCCAAACCTGCGCATCCCCGCCCGTTTTTTTAAAAGGAAACCCTGCGTTTCCCCTTTCCAAACCCCATTAAAAATAAAGTAAATGAAAAAGCTAACAGCATGGAAACCTGATCCAAACTGCGCTGAAAGCGGGAGGCTGGCCTGGGTTTCCTGTGGTCGCCCCAAACCCCTAATGTTGGTTTTGGGGCGTTTTAGGGGGCTATTTATTGGAAAAATTCCCCCAAATTCAAAAAAACGCTTGATTGATCCGAAAAATTTCTTGCCCCAATTTTTCAAATCTGATGTGACATGGGTTTTCAATTCAGTTTGCCCAGAGAAACAGTGAATTTGCTAACCAAAAAAAAAAAAAACCCAATTTTTTATACCTGCAAAAAAAGGGGAAGTTAACCTTAGTCTTTGTACATAAAGTCGGTCATAAACAAACACGAAAAAAAATAGGGGAATTTTAGATTGTTATAAAAACTTATATTAAGAAAAATTTTAAAAACAAATGAAAACCAACAGATTATTTTTTTGAAAAAAAGAAAAGGGAAACCAGGTTTTAAGCTTTTATAATTAAAATAAGAATCTAACCTTGTGGCAGTTTAATATGCACAGGCAAAATATAATCCCCTTTAATCTATCACAAATTGAAAAAAAAAGTTTAATCCTCCTTCATAAAAAGGAAAACAATTTAACTTTCTTATAATTGATCAGATCTAGGGCAGGAAAGTTCAGGTGGTTTTATTCTATAGAAACAAAAAAGGTTACTTTGACAGGTGCTGAAACTCTATTATGAAAATTTTAAAAAAGGAAATGCTTTTCCCCTTTTTTGGGGTGTTTTTTTTAAAAGGATAAAACTTTTTTAAAAAACATTTCTAAAGTCTTTAAAAACCCCTTTTTAAATTTTTAAACAAAAAAATACATCCCAAATTTTGACAACAAAGAATTAAGGGAAATAAGAAATTTTTAAAGGGTAATAATTTTTACTTGTAACAGTTTTTCATATCATAAAAATACGTTATAAAATACAGGTAAAAAGTCATGTGAGAAAATAATGTTTTTTATTTGAAAAAATTCATTAATATATTCATTAAAAATTTCCAGCCCCCCGTTTTTTTTTTTAAGCAAAAAACCCCTTTAAAAAAAAAATTTTTTTCATTGAACAGTAACATTGTGTTAGATTTTTTCTTTCATCCTATAATCAGGACTTGGTTTTAAAAGAAGCAAATTTTTCTTGGATACTGTACATGTTTTAAAACAGGTAAGTCAGTTAATCAATATGCTACAGTATTAAATATAATGTCATTCTCCCCACTTCTCTATAAGAATATTTGAACATGATGAGAAAAATTTATGTTCAATATTTTATGCTTTTTATAATTTAATTATTAATCTTATAATGTTTACTCTTTTAAAAGGAAATCCCGCTGGAAACATAAAATGAGGGGATTTGTTACAATTTTTTTTAAATCAGCTGGGGCACTTAAATAGAAAGATGTTTCAAATGGATAAATAAGATATATATTTAGAAGCTTAGAAATGAATTGAAAACGTATTATTTTTTATGCTGTTTTTAGCCTATTTGTTTGCAACATTTTTAAATTTAAGGTCATTTTGACAGTTTAGAATAATTATTCTGAAAAAACTTGAGTAAAAACGCATGAGCAATTAATCTCGAAAAATTATTTCAAGTCAAAAAACCTCAGTGGAGTCCCTTTTAAAATGTTCATGAATGTTTACACATTTTTTTTTAACAGAATGAATGAAGGTAACCTATACATTGCAATTAAATCCATTGAATGTTAACTTAATCCTTACAGCAATTCAAAAAGTTTTTTATGAAACTAATTGAAAAAAATATCTATTTCTAATGGTTTTCATTTCCCAAATTTTGCTCAGTCATTTAATTGATTAATCAAATAATTAATTAAAAGATGAGAATCTATTTTTTAGTCAGTGGTTGTTTTTCTGGTTTCAGTGACTTCCAGGAAAGTCTGGATGACAACTGAGAATAGAACAGTGACCCTGGAGAGACAGGCGACCTTCTAGGAAAGACTGGATTCACGGTGTACAGTGGGTTGGCTCCCCGCTGTGCAGTCTTCGCGAGAAGACACCCGCCAAAACTGCTACAACACACACCGAACGAAGAATACCCCCAGGGTCTTCGAGAGGGGGGAGGATGAAAGACCTAATAGGACTGATTTCACGGTAACGAACACGGAACACCAAACGGACTACGAGTGAAGACTGATAACAGCACAGCCATCATGTGCCCCTGTGGCAAGATGTGCAAGAACAGGAGGGGGATGAAAATCCACCAGACTCGAAGTGGCTGTCAGCTACGGAATACACAGGAACAACGCACAGTTAACCCTGGTGAGACGGGGGAGATATCTAGTCAGGTGCCGAACCCACAGTGCTACTTGTCTCTCAGCTCCCCGGCATTCCTTAACTGCAGATGACAATCAAGAACGGTACAGCGCAAAAATCCCACAGACCAAACAGAGCCGTCTGAGGAGCTAATTCCTCCCACTGGAGATGGAGAAGAGTCCCAATATTTTCGAACAGATCGCACCAAGGGTGACTTCAGGAGGGTAGTTCTCCAATCTTTGCCACAAAGTAGACAGAGTACAACTCCACTCCATGAATAAACAACAGGAAGTACCAGACAAGGGCAAGCTGAATCAGACTCAAGACCACGACAACCGACATCAAGCGACAGAAAACCGAAGATCGCATGGCCCAATACCAACGACAGTAGCTGGAAGACGTTTGACGATGACTTGGACCTGATCCTTCAGTCAACATTGTCAGGTGCTGTGGAAAGGAAAAACTACAAGTGTTGCCTTCCATAGCCTACACCCTTGGAAGAGAGAGGTTCGGAGAAGTGAAGAAAGGAGAGTCAAAGAAGTCTCACCGCGCCAAACAGAAGGCAGTGTGAGATCAAGAGGCTCCGGACAGAACTCCGTACTTTACGTAAGCGTTTCAAGGGCGGCCAACCAGACTGAGAGAGAAGGTCTCGCCCAGTTGAGAGGACAGCTGAGGTCACGCCTGAAGACCCTCACTACGGCAGAGAGAGTGGCCAAAAAGAGGAAGACCAAAGCAAAGAAGAGAGCCGCCTTCATAGCAAATCCTTACAGATTTTCTAGGGACCTACTAGGAGAGGAAAGATCAGGAAAGATGGAGAGTAGTAAGACCGAAGTGGAGCAGCACCTACGGGGATGTACACTCAGACCCCAAGAGGCAATGACCCGCTAGGCAACTGTGACAGAAATTCTTCCTGTTGAAGAACCATCAATTCCACTAGATCTGAAGGAACCAACATTTAAAAAGAAGTGACAAGTGTTGTTATGAAGGCCCGGTCATGTTCAGCTCCTGGACCTAGTGGCATTTTTCCTACAAAGTTTATAAGAAGTGCCCCAAGCTTCTGAGACGTCTCTGGCAACTGTTGAAAGTGGTATGGAGGAAGGGAACAGTTCCAGACTGCTGGAAACAAGCCGAAGGTTGCTTTGTGCCCAAGGAGAAAGACTCTAAGACAGTAAAGCAGTTTCAGGACCATATCACTTCTAAATGTTGAGGGCAAGATATTCTCTCAATACTGGCCAAACCGCATGACCTCGTACATGTTAAGCAACCAGTACATCAACACCCTCAGTCCAAAAGGGAGGAATACCCGGTTTTCTCGGGGTGCGTGGAGCACAACCAGCGCTCTAACGCAGCTGCTTCATGAGGCCAGGATCAACCAAAAGATCTCAGTGTCATTTGGTTAGATCTTGCGAACGCCTATGGACTCGATCCCACACCAACTGATCTTGGAAGCTCTGCACCACTACCACATCCCGGATCATGCCACAAAACTCATCCAGAGTTACTTCAGCAACATTCACCTGAGGTTCTCTTGTGAACAGTTCACAACAGACTGGATTGAGCTACAGAAAGGCATTGTGACTGGATGTACCATCTCTGTTAACTGTTTTGTGATGGGCATGAACATCATCATCAAGGCAGCAGAGGGTGGAAACACACGAGGCCCAAAGACAACTCTGTTATCCGCCTACCATCCAACCGTGGGTTTATGGACGACATGACCGTCACGACGGAAACTCACATCCAAGCACGATGGGTACTCACGGCACTTTAGAGGAAACAGCGACATGGGGCCCGAATGCAGTT